GGGAGTTATGTTTGCCTCTTGTCTGACTCGTCTGTTTTGTCTAATTGTCTAAACGTGTGGACTGCTACGGTCAAACAGGGACCAAATGAAGCTTAGAGTGTGATACAGAAACTGTCAACAAGACATTCATATTGAATAAGTGAGTTATTCAAGACTCCATTTGGCCAAGAACTACCATCTGCCTTTTTTTTCTGATCATTAAGCAAGCATACAGTTAGCCACAGACATCAGAAACAAACATTTACAACACAGTGTAATGGAAACACATTGGAATTGTATCAAAATATGGACTAATTTAGAGCTGTAGATCACAAATAATGTATACTGTTTGCTTTATTGGGAGGTTAGAACTAAGGTAATGAGGATTCTACTGTAATTAGAAATGTCACTTGTAATTACAGTGAGTGGCAGCAATGCATAATGTGCTTTGAAAATATGATGCAATTCCTAAAGAGAAACAAGAAGCTGTGTTTCAGTGTTCAGAGGACAAAGTGGATTTCAATTCAAGGCAATGCACCTTTTGCCTTTGCACACTGTACATGAGCTAATTGGATGCAGTAATTAAGGCACAAAGGCACGTTTGAATAAAAGATGCAGAGAGAAAAAAAAATCCTTGTTCAGCATTTGTGATTTAAAACGGGTTTATTTGCTTGTTCACCGTCCCTTGTGCTCATTGATTTTTCTCCCCCCTCTAATTCTGTGTCATTGTAGATGCTGCAGTCACAGGAGCTGCTGACTGGACTGAGTGAAAACACACACCTGGCTGGATGAACACACATGGTGAGGGTGGGAAAAAGATTTGATAAATTCATCAGCCAAGCCACAGGATACCTGGGTTTTTAATTATATTGAACAATCTTCATTAGAGAGAATGATCCATGGAAGAGATCAGAGCGACATCGCTTTCAAAAGCCAAACCACGAGACTGCCCTCGTTTTTCATATTGTACAATCAGAATGTCAGCCTACCTTGGTCATTTGTAACATAATAAGTTGCAGTCGGTGTCTGCGATGCAAGCAGCATGCTGGGGGAAGGGCAAACAGTCTGTCCTCTTTAAAGGGATTTTTAAAGAGTCTTGATTAGAAAGTATAATGAGTTACCAAAGACACAGCAAAGATGATCTCTCTGGAGACTGATGGAAAACAAATTAAGACGGTGCTTTTGTTTTTAATTATTATTTTTATATCAGTCCTCAGAAAGCTCAGGATACCCTTAAGGCACAGGAGTTGGACTCACTGTCATTGATTTTTTTTTCCCTGTGACATATTTAAATAATACAGATTTTAATCATGTCAGCACTCAGTACTCTGATCCTTTAACACCAAAGCCTCGCAGCACCGCACATGCATTTGATTTAGAAAATGCCAGTGTCTGAGCTAAAAAACTGGGTACATTCATCGCTTATGTTTACAGCTGTGTGTATGAGCACATATTTCAGTCAGTGAAATGTGCAGTTTAAACTCAAACACAACAATTTTTCCCAACGCTTTTGAGCTGACCAACCCCCAACCTCTGCCACACCATGAGTTTGGAATATATAAAGAGTTACACACCTAAATATGTGTTATTCAATCTACTAAAGCTGACAAAGAAAACACTCAGGTTTAAGCATTAATTTTACACTCAAAAATTATAATATAATTAAGATTAGCTCTGTAGGTGGTGAAGGAAAAGAAGCATAGTATGCCATACCCTAACAGGAAATAGATTAAACTACATCTAAATAGCTGATCAGAGAGCAATCACATAAATAGTGGCCATTGTTTTCCTCTGTTAATAGGAGTATGTTCCAGTATACCTGAGTCTTACAGGGCATGAGAAACAGATGCTCGACACTTTTGTGTACAGACACCTTTCCCAGGAAATACAGGAACATGAAGGATGAGTAAGACAGGATGAGTAAGAACAGAAATATGTCAACATATCTAGTTGAATGCTGAGAAAAAGAGACATGGGGCTGTAGTAAAAACAGAAAGGCAGAGTAGAGATCTCACTGACTCTGGCCTCTGTATTTACACAGGCCAGAGGCAATACTGTTACCTATTTGCAAATTTATGGCATTGTGAAGTCCATGAGCTAGCCAAAGGGTTGTTTTTTTTTTGTTTTTTTTGTTCTGTATTGTATGTTATTGGCACATAGCTCGGTAATTCACATGCTTGATGAACTTACTTCTTGTGATCTAGCCTGACTCTCATTTTCATTCCATCTATCATGCTGCTGTATGTCATATTCATGCATACCAATGTCCATTTTAATTTGTCATTCTGGGTCAGCATTGACCTCCTTCTGCTCCAAGCTGTGGTGTGGCAGATGTGTGAATGAAATAATTTCGCCATTATTTGAGCAAAAATAGGCCATTATAGCCTTTGTGGTGAGACAACAGCCCCTCTGTGATAATAAAAGACACACATCCCAGTTAAACAGAAAAGACGGTTTAGGGGATGTAACGGGATGAATCCGTTAAGTTGTGTTTGCAAAACATAAATTAATATGCCTCAAAAGGTTAATCATGAATTAAAGTCAACCCTATTGCTTCAACAAAAAAATGAAAATGGGGTTTTGGTGTGCTAGTGTTAGTGTTACAATTAATTATTATAATTATCGTAATTGCCTGTGCAGGAAAGCAAATGTAGGAAACATCCCTTCTGCATGTCAATACACATTTTTTTGTTAGAACTGGTGACATACAAGACCTAAAGAGTTGTGTGTAGCATCACAACAAATTACAGAACTGTGTAGGTTCAGCAGACATTATATAGACTGATAATTGGACTCAAATTTCATTTTGTTTTCACTTCATTACTCATTCTTTTGTTCTTTTATTTGAATCACTGAAAAAAATCCAAGACGAGGGCAGCAACTCAGAGCTCTGGAACCAGACTGTTGTGTGAAGAAAGGGACATGTGCAATCACACTCCAAGCTTTCTGAACGCATCATTCTCGGTTCCATTCAAAAGCCTTTTTAGAACATTACGCTATTATATCTCTAATAAATTATACTTAATTGCCTATTCATGAGCGTGAATCACTCTGGTCTTGGGAAAACTGGTAAATTTGAGTTTGATAAGTAAATGTCTGCCAAAATCTAACCAAGTAAGCCACATCTAAAAGTCTAATTTGTATTTTTGACAGTAAAAGAGTGTCACTTTTACTCCAGTGTTTACATTGCTGATATACAGTGAACAAATGTGTAACAGAATCAAACGCCTTACAGACAGTCCCAGTTTGTTGTTTGGAGACTGATTTTATACCATGTTAATTTTTGGCTAATACAGTGAGACTGCTGTACATGACCTTCTTAATCATCAAGAAGACTTTAACCTTAGCTTAAAGAAAAGATAATCGTTCTGTAACTTTACAATGGACTTTGAAGAAATGCCTTCTCTGCAGCATCAGACAGAAAGAGAGTTGATATAATGTGATTCACTGTCCCACCTGGTGGCCAAATCTAGAAATTATCAGGAAGGGGTTGGGGTGAAAAAGGTTATTGTTGTGGTTCTCTACTAGAGGTGCCACATCTCGAGATGATGGTCCATAAATGCCTTTGATAAATCATTTCTAGATGTTAAAAACATGTAGGGAAAGGACTCAACAAAAAGAGACATATGCAGCCAAGATGTAGAGAGAATTTCTTGGATGACAGACTTCTTGGAAGTCTAAAATTAGATGTGCATGAATGGGAAGAAGAAGAAAAAAAGGTTTCCTGCTGACTTCTCTCACTCCAGTTCCATCTTGGACCATGCTGAGATGTCAACAGAGCCACTGGACATTTGGAGGGAGTGACACGTTTCAGATGACAGTGATTTAGATATCCTTTCAGAACTAATTAGACTCTATCCCCAATTTTGGTGTCCCAATTCATCTTTTTCTCCTCAATTATGCATTGACATATATATATTTAGCAGGAATGTTCTATGTAGCTCACACAGAACGGAGCACGGTCAGCCCTTTTTCTCAACTTGCAGATTTGTGACACTGCTGGACAACCCAAGGCTGAAAGGTGACATATTACTGGCTGCATACTACAAGATCTACTCAGTTACTGCTTAATAGAACTTTCTGACTCAGATCAATTAAATAAAAGCAAAAGAAAGGCATTGTTACAGTCAAACACACTTTATTAAAACACACAAGGGCTCAGATTCTGCCAAATTAATGTCAGATATTGCACAAAAGCATTTATGCTGTTGAAAATAAAGAACAGTAATAAGAGGTGTGTTTGCCATTATTCTGCAATATACCATACACATCATACACAAACTCTTGATTGTCTTTAATGTTAATTAGTTCCAACACCAAAATTATGACCACTCTCTTAAAAATGAAGCAATGATAATGCCAAGACTGCATTTCATAGGGCAGCAAAACAAACAAACAAGCAAACATACTGTAATATATTTTCACCACTTAAACAATACAAAAATTACCTATGAACTGTGGACAAATAGAAAATATTCTGAAATTACGATTTCATATTTACTAGTTAAATTTTTGTTAGAGAACAGGCAGAATGCTTTTTACCAAAAAAAAAAAAGAAAAAAAAAATGAAAGAAAACTGGTAAAAAGCATTCATCCCACAAAGTCCACTTGACAAAATGCAGGGAAATTGGTCAGGACGTGTCTGTGGCAGTATTCATTTAGGATGGTTTTCCATTACAATAGGATACCGGGGAAAAAAACCTGCTTTATGGACTGTGGAACTCCACCTCATTGGCTACATTTACATACATGCAGCGACCAGACAATTGCTCATACTTTCGCTGGGCTCTCATTCGGATGAAGCTATTTACATGTGCCCCTGATAGCTTGTGATTGAGAATTCCTGTTTCTATGAATACTACATGAAGGGACACTCCGACAATTTTACAGTTGACTCATCATGAGGAGGACTACTCAGCCTTTAAAAGTGGTTGTATTATACCTTGCTCTGGAGGAGCCTGTACAACGTCTGAGAAAAATAACCATGATGATGTCATCAGGATTATCTCAGCTTGGGCTTGAAGATGACAAATTTATAACAGAGAGCCTGGGTTATAAGCCTTTCCAAGGCAGGGAGGGTCGAACAAAAACATGCACTTCGTTGCATTAGTGAGAATGTACAGTAGAGTGCAGCATTTCTGAGGCTTCATCCAGGATATCTCAGCATTTGCTGCATTGATTTTTACAATTTTATTGTAAATCTCCAAACTTTATGTTAATACAAAAATTTCTGTCACCTCACAAAAAGTCTGAACACTTGGATCTTACATTAATCTGTTTCTCTTTTAAAAAACAATGGTATGATCCTTTCTTGAAAGAAAAAACAATGATCCCAAAAGTTATCCAGGCCATCTGTAACGCCTGATAATAACCTGACATTACATCCAGTGCCAGGTGATATGTACACCAGGCTATACATGTTGATGAAAATGCACCCATCTGAGAAATTTACAGACGATTCGAGTGAGTCTTTGTTAGTGCAGAAAACAAAACAGAAGTAGTGAGACAATTATGAGCCACAGTGAAGAGGTTAGTATCAGAATAAGCATGGTCAGTTTTCCCACAATCATACTACATTATTCTGAGTCATGAGATTGATGTGTGTTAAACCCAAGAACTGCTTCTGTAAATGTGTGAAAGAGTGGACTTCTCTTTGCATGAACACCCACCCAGTGATAAGGGCCTATTGCTTCCTACTGTGTGAGAGAGAGAGAAGGTTTCTCCTACGGCACGCTGTCAGTCTCCTCAGCCTCCACCAGACAGGACTGGTCCGTGTCCAGCACTCGGAACGGAGGGTGGTACTCAAACGCTGTGAGGATAGTGGAGCCAATATTGTGCTTCTGGTGCAGGAACCAAATTACTGCTGAGATTCCCATGATAGCCACCACGCTGAGAATGACCAGGGCGGACAGCAGTGCACTGGGTCCTGAGGAGGACAAGTTACAATGCAAGGAAGGTCACGGCTATCAACGCGAAATCCCAGAGGAATACGTAAAGAAACAAAAAGAAAAAAGCTCAAAGGTGAACTTACTCTGCTTGGCTTCCTCTGCCTCTGAAGGAAAAAAAAAAACACATTGTGAGGCAAGTGGAAAACAATCCCAACCTTATTATCTGAGGTCACGTTGACTCAAAGTCATGCTACATACTCTACATACTCACTCAAATCTGTCATTTTAATAAAATGCAGCAAATAAAACAACAGGTGTAAGAGACTTTAAAAAAAAAACTTAAATCTTACTCTGAGCTGTCTCACAGATCACTCCGTTCTCCACTTCATCCAGACAGCTGACATTTTCCCACTTTCCTGTGTTGCTGTGCAGAGCCACACATGTGTCCAAGAGCACGAGGTCTGATGGAGATGAGCTGTCCTCCCAGTTAGTGAATCTCACAGGGTCGTCGCCAAACCACCTCATGTCTTCACCTGTCAAGACACGCCAATCACTACTGCAGCACGATGGGCAGCGAGAATACCAACCACCATCACAGTTAATGTCAGCCATGTAAAATACAGCATCCCTCCAGCATTCACACAAGCTGGACTGAACTGCGCTACATCACAAATAAGGTTGAATGAAGTTTACATGCATATTTTCCCTGCTCGGGATTTACACTAATTGAAATGTTCAATGTGTTTTGGTTTAGTGTCTTCCATTGTGCCTCCCATGACTGCTTAAAAAAAATAAATACAGGATTTCCTGAGGCAGTGCCAGGATTTTAAGAGCAGGATAAATCAGTGTTGTCATCCGTGCTTTCAAAAGTAGCTGGCACTAGCAGAAAATAGGGGACAAACTGACAGACAGCACTTCACACTCTTTAAGTGTGAATGTCTTATAGGTAGATAGAGCAGTAACCGAGACACAGACAGAGAAAAAAATTGAAAAAATCTGAGATAAAATTCTTAACATGAGTCTACTGTTTGCAAGGTCAATAATTAACCCACAGGCTTAACTTTTTCAGAGGTCCTGAAATTGTTCAGAAACATGTACATTAGTTAGTTAACCTTAAACATCTGTCAGTTTTCCACCTAGTTGCCTCCAAACAATTGAAATGAAGTTGATAAGTAAGTTTTTCCGTTTTTGATTATAATTGAGAATCAGATTTTATCTCATGGAAGTTAGCCAGCTCATTTTCTCAGTCCTCTGGTCACATGGAACTTACTGTTTGTGTCATAATACATTCCCAGCCACACATTGATGTTGTCTTTCCACACCTCTGGGCTATATTTAATGACAAAGTTGTTCTCCTCTGCGCTCTGTATGGTCAAAAGCTCTGAAAAAAAAGCATAGAAATGAACAGCATGACAACACAGACACACAGATTTTGGCAAAACAGCACATTTGTCATTTTGCCTCTGATGCAAAATTGATACCAAAATGTATAAAAATGTATAAAATGAAAATAAAATGTCTGATGTACCAAAGCCTTGGCAGAGGGTTTTTGCTCTGTCAAAAGTATAGCTTTTGATTTTGTCTTCTTGTCCGTGGACAAAGTGGTAACATCTGTCTTGAAAAGGAACCCAGGTGCGTCCATCTGCAGGGCAATCTGAGGAGAGTCACGGCACGAAACATGATTTGGCATCTGACCTTTTTAGCTAAATCACCATTTTAAGATGCTGCAACAGCTTTACATAATGTTTGGCTGTAGGTCAGATAACTTCATTCTACATCCCCCGATACACTGTACAAGTTTGTACTGCTCAATTGTCAGTTTTGACTTGTCTTGTGACTGTTGTTCCTCTTTACTGATACAGTATGACTGTGGTGGACACTGTTCCTCTTAGCAATGTTTCAACTACTACACCGGTTATTTGGGGTCAGCTGATTTTTGGAGGTGTGCTGTGTGTCTCAAGTTGCTTTAACAACTCACACATCTGTCAGATTTCTTACAGGCGACACGTGCTGCCAGTCTGCCATTATAGGTGGTTAGAAACTTTATAGTTCATACTCTTAAGATTGTAGTACCACTTTAAACGACATTACTGCCAGACACTGCTTCTCCCAAAGAAATCTGATCTATGTAGTAAATATAATTGTAAATTAGCCATGATTACAGAAGGGAAAACACGGATTTTTTAATTTTGTAAAAGTTTCACGGTATAAGACAAGCACACAACTTGCAACTTAGTTCCGTTCACAGTGTATGCTGTGTTATGTTGCCATATGCAAAACAACAGTGTCGACATTCAGGTTCAAGCTACTTTGGTAACTGATAAATTAACATGAGTACGTGTGTTGAAACTCTACGGACATGGCTTATCGAGTGAAACCCTGCACTAAACAAATGTGAGCGTTAAGAGTTTAGATAGGGCCCTGGCTTTAAAACAGGCCTACACAACACTACAGTCGACGGCAGTGTACAACCACAGCGAAACATAGCACGTTTATTTAGTTTGAAGCGAAGACTCCGTTTTAAACTCCTACCTCCTGTCAAGCCTAACTTCAGCTGAACACACAAAACGAAGACGCAGCTTAACAGTGATCCAAAATGGTGACTTTTCTTCGGTGACTCCATGACAGCGACGACTAAACAAAGTCCTGAAGCACCAAACTACTTTTCTGACTGTTGCTCCACTCCAGTGCCAGCAGCAAAGTGAGCGAGATCCCACCCACACAGCACAGCGGCTCACACACAAACAAGGCCCACACGCTTCACTACGCGTCAGTGTGAACTGACCACTCCGATTTCATCTACACTGGTTTATAACAAGTTGATGTTGTTGCTTGTTGATGCTTGGACTCTCGCATTAACAATAAAAACACAAGGTTTTTATTACGTAATAAAAATTTACGCAGCAGTGTGGAGAAGCTTCCATTGTAATCCAGCCGTAATGTTAATATGGAAAGTGGTCTAACACAAACTGCAGTCCGACTGGATCAGATTTGGCAGAATTTACACACATGAACCTCTGGAGGGCGCTGTACGCGCAATGTTCGTCAGACTGGATAAGGTCTCTGGATTTGCATTGTTCAGCTCAGAGTGGACACTAACTCTAACAAACTCACAGGTGATCTCTGTGAGCCAATATTTCATACTAGACACTACCTTCCACCCTAGCCTACCCATCGTTGTGACATGTACAAGGCTCTTAACTTGCTGTATTTAAATGGTAAAGACAGACATTCAAATTTTTTTAATTCATTTTAAATATATTCAGTTTAACCACCCAGTGAACTGAAAGTTTTTACAGCCATATACACGAGCGTTTTGCATTTATTATGTTTTCTATATAAGCAATATTATAACTTTAATTAAAAAACAATACATTAAATCCATAACATCTCTTAAGCTCTTGCTTATAATGTTTACATTTATTAATGTGACATAATGAAAGTAATTGCTTATTGCAGTATGCATTATTATTATTGCACGCGCGCGCGCGCACACACACACACACATATATATATTAGCAGTCTATTTGTATTTGTTGTTGCAGTTGATTGCATTATGTTGTGTTGTTCTGTCCAACCCCCTGTATCTACTCTGTCATTATTAACATATCTAGTGTTATAATAAGTCCTGCCTGAATAATCACAATCAGTATGGTTTATAATTACTTTTAATAATAATTACTTACTTACTTTTTACTTTAGGACATCAGTGTACAGGATGAAGCACTTCCCTCTTCCTAAACTGTAGATATTAAAAATAATATGGGTGGAGGATGCTTCCTACCTGAGCAGGTGAGGGGGGAGGGACAGCAAGCCCAAGGGGCAGAATGGTTGTTGGTCAGGTGGAAGAGGGGGTTTCAACTCCATTGCTTGTAGGCGCAGGTGGCACAAACACAGACAGCTGGAGTGTGAATTTTGCTCCTCGTCTGGAGCTGGTGGCTTCCCGTAGGGTGGCACAACACCCTGCAGGATACCGTGGGGACCCATCTGCCATGGCAAGGCCTGCTCACAGACGCCCCCATCCACCCACCCTATGCCATACCTCCTGATACTCATAACTCACCCTGTCCAGGCCATGCATGTTATCAACAATACCATGTGACAGTGTTTATATAGTCCTTACCAGGTCCTCACCCTTTTGGGTTGAAAGTACAGCAAAGTAAATACTAGTCGTCCATCTCAACAGAGCTACAGTACAATTATAACATCCTAATCGGAGGAATGCAATGGAGGAAAACATTTCCTTTATTAACACTGAGACAAGGCTGATCTAAGTGCAGATATTATTATGAGTGATGACATTAATATATTTGCTAAATTGTAGAGGACTTAAACAGTCTGATAGTTATTAAAGATGGGGTAGGCTTGGTGTAATATTTGATTCTTTTGTGATGTACACTAAAGAGACACATTTTAGAAGAAAGCATCATCAGTTATTCACTCCATGGTGAAATGTTTCTAGGCAGCTGTAAGTCTCAGTCTCTCATTAATTCAATGAGTGGACTTCTTGCAATGACAAAAATCTACATCTACATCAAAATAAATCACTTATTTTCTTATGTCATATATTTCTGTGTTTGACAATCTTCATAAATTGAGCAAAACATTATTTTCAAGCTGTATGAAGCCAGGTAATTCATGAATGCATAAATATTTTCCAAATTTCTGATAAAGCCAGATTCTTTATTAAACATAAACTGAAAGTGAGAGACAAAGTGCGAGGCAGTGTTTGGATTTCAGCCCTCTGAAGCTGCAGCCAAGCTCCCATAACAGACATATTAAAAATTATTGTTCAACTATTTAAAAACAATTTACTGGCAAGCTATACAAAAGATGTATTTACATAATTTCATCATTAGACAATGCAAGGTTGCCAAATGGCTATACTCAATTAAAACAGGAACCGGTTTACTCAGGGTTCACCATGAAGAACAGCAGCTCTTGTAAATAAACACTAGATTTACAGCAGATTAAAAGGTGAACATTTTTATTTTTTTTATTCAAAAAATGTCAAAGAAATGAACAGAATAAACCTTAGGCAACAAGCTACTAAAAAAAGCAGAAGTCTTTGGCTTTAACAAACACTACAAAACAAAAATACAGAGGAAGGTTTCTTAAACTGTACATACAAGTTACCACTGGCATTTGTAGCACAAGTAAAAAAAAAAAAACAAAAAAAACAATAAACTTTCATCTAGCACTATGAAAATCTCTTTCTTTCCTTAAGCTGTCTGTACAAAAATTTTCATAAATTAGAACTTTTTCATATAACTTAGTGACTTTTCAACATGATGGTGACCTATATGAGCAATTTTCTTTGATGCACCTCTGCAACTCTTGATCCAGATACTATGGCACTTGGTTCAGACACCATTAGCAGCATAAACCTCACAAGACAGTATTACTTCTCAGTCTCAGGCATTACACAGAAATCTCAAGTATAGCGGCCCTACATTTGTTGCACATCCTAGTTAACTACAGAGGAAATGCTGCTGCGAGTTTCTAGACCCAAGACAAAGCAACAAACATGCTTGTTTAAAGGAGCAGAGATCCAGTAAACACCACGAAGCTTCATTGTTATTGTTGGTCTTAAAGATCTTAGATCCGCCTCTGGAATCTATTGTCATAAAAGCAGCAGTTTTTTCGAAACTATAAAAACTGAATGCATACACATGAGTAGAAACGTGCTGCCCCCTCCCAATGATTACAATAATACATCATAAAAAAATAGGTCTGATGAGAAAATCAAAAAGTATTCAAAACAACCTGAAAGGAAACAGCTGTATGTGGCCAGCTCCTGAGCGTGGCATTTGGTCTGGAAGGGCGGGCTGGACCTGCTAACCCGACCTAATACAGAGGAGAAAGAAAACTCTGAGGTAGATAATTGGTCAGACTGACCATCAGGTCGAATCACAGGCTTATTAGAGGACACCTTAATCAAAAAGCCTGCTTTAATCTACTGTGATCAAAAAAAAAAAAAATCAGACTTATTTTTTTTAGTGCTATGCCATACCAGACTGCTATTATAGCACTGTCCTTTCATTGTTTCAATTATTTTATTTTAAACTTAATTTTTACTATAACGTTGCATTTTCTGTAAGTATGAAATTCATCTGTGGCACTTGTTGGATCCAGGCCTTCCTTCATGCTTGTGTGTGTGTCTGCACTGTACTAATACCTATGAAAACTGAATGTAAATGTACAAAAAAGGCACACTGTCCAAACTGCAATCTTATTTGCAGTTAAAGAGACAAATGATGCTATTTCCTCCGTGTACTAGCTCACGATCTTTGGTGGAGTAAACTACGATTGAAAGTGCCAAGGTTGTTTGTTTCCTGTCAAAGAGTGAGGTGCAATTAAATGCACATATTCATCTCATTTTACCCTCTAACTCTGTAACTCTAGGTTCTATTACAAGGCTTTGATGAGTTTTTTTGCACAATCATGAGTCCATGTTTTCCTGTTAGGTTTTCAAATAAAAGTGAAAAAGACATCCATCAAAATAACAATTAACATCACCCAAAAAGACGAAAGCACAACCAACAAACAAAATACATTAGTCCCATCTCATCCCCTACCCCACAAAGATCAATTTCAGCTACTCTACAATACCAAGTATTCAAAAAGGCAAGATTCAAAAGGTGATCTTTCATCATTCCAACATCCAGAAACATGTAGGGCCTTCTCACTAAATAAATATTACATCCAATAAAATCATCAGATGTGGAGTCATTTCATTCAAAACATTTTTCTCTAAAATTACATCCACTTTTCTAGCAGTTCTGGGAGGGAAAAAGCAAAAACACAGGTTTTATTTTTTTTGTTTTTAAAAGTCTTATGTGGCTGATTTCAAAGGAATTAGCTTTTGCTTATTGCCACTCTCTGCTGTGGTCTGTACAACTATTGTATCACAACTATTAAGGCAAATAATTTTAATCAGACAGCAAGATCAATCTAAAGTACTAGGAGAAATCACTTTACAAGAAAACAACAATTAATACTTCACCATCGCAACACTCACACAGCAAGCACAAAAACATTATTTTAGAAATGTCTGGCTGAAAAAAAATCTTCAAGAAAAAAAAATCTGGAAATATTAACAAAAGACATATTGACTATCATGCACTTGAAACAACTAGTCACATGATTCTTTCTTGTATCCTGCAGCAATCCTTGGTAAAAAATAAACGTTCTAGTATGAAAATAAAACTTTTTCAAAACTTTTTTTTAAAATTTTTTTTATATAATTTGAATCATTTGATGAACTCAGGTATTCTCTCTGAAATGATACCAAAAATAGTCTCACTTAAACATTTGCAGAACCTGTGCAAAACAGTGAAAAGATCCTTAGCGTCCATTGCGTTTGTAGACATGATTGTTTTAGCTGTTGTACAAGTGTTACCTCAGCACTACTTGGTTTGTTGGTATGGATATGGGGAATGATTTCTGGATGAGTCCACTTGTGAGTGTGCACCATTTTCCTGGAAGAGAGAGTGAGATAATTCTTTGCCACTGCCATTTTGCTTACAATGAGCTGCTGTTTTAAATGAAGATAATGTTTTATACACAGAGGGCAGCACTGATGTTAAAACATACCTCCACAGGAACAGTAGTTGTCTGCATGTGTGCATACTGTGGGATATATGCTCCTTGCATAGCTGTGTTGGCAGCCATAAACTGCACAATGACGAAAGGAGACATAGACACATTGAGATCATATTCATAATATATATGTTTTTCAGTTTAATGACGAACATTTAATCACCCTACTCTCAAATAAGTATACTGTGTGAAATCATTTCTGATTCCATGTAGAATTGTCTCACCGTTCCTGCACTGCCCAGAGAGAGGTGACTCATCTGCTGTGAAAGGGGGGCCATCATAGAAGTAGGCTGCAGTGACAAAGATGGGTCCATAGAGGGCGATATCACTGTTCCCTGGAAGAGAAGTGAATGCGGGTGAGGGAGGAATGTTTGCAGCTGATGGAGTATCTTTTTGTAAAACTGAAACACTTTTGAAAAATCTGAGTGACCAAAGGTTACTGTATACCAGAGGGGAAAACGAAACTGAATAATCTCAAGATTTCTTATCGCCTGCCCATAGCATAAGGTGAGTAGTCACAAGTTGAACAAGGTGTCTATAAGCACCTTGGCCAGCTTGATGCATTTAACAGTGTTTTCTTGTCTACGTTGGCTCGTTTTCAAAGCAAGAAAGAAAGCAAGACTCTTCTCTCTCAATTCAAACCCATCTGTTATAAAATATTCTGCATGTATCATCAAGTAAACATCTTTATATAGTGTCTCTAAAGCAGTCAATTTTATATCCCTATATAAACACTTTAGCACAGTAAACCCTCAAGGATCACTGTCACCTTATGTGTGACTACTACTCTTCCATATTGTGTCTGGTTGTTTACAGAAAAATGTTTCAATTCTGTAACAACCACACAGAGAAATGTTTTCATGAAATAGAGAAAAGAGAAAAGGGAGAGAGAATTGTGATGAAGACAGTGATGATGAGAAGGTGAAGAGTTTTTGCTCTTACTGGGTGCTGCATGATGTACTGTTGATGAGGCACCCAGGATGGGTTCTGCACCTGGAACATCACACAAAAACACTCTGTAAACACACAGGCACTGAAGAGCTGCTATTTCCAGAGATCACATGCTACTGTGATTGGCACAGCATCAGGCATGAAGGGCCCCAACGCCCTTTGTTACATTTAACCTACATGTCCAAAACCCCAAAGGACATGTCTCTGAATTGGGATGACACGTTTATAAATAAATGAATAAATAAATATAATAAATTCTGAGTTACTGCGTGTAAAACTGCTGAATGAAATGTTTTTTTAAACTATTGCAAGCATTGCTTTTTATCAGAGCTGCATATACACCATTGAAGAGAAGCATTCAAACCTGGTATGTAGAAACTGGAGACATGTAAGGAGACATGGACGTTTGAGCAATCATCCTGTTTGAAATACTGTATGCTGGTGGGAAAAATCTGTGGACACATAATGAAGTGTATTTCATTCAAACAACGAAGTAAATTAGGCACACATATATCAGTCACGACAGTGTAATCTAATATGTTGTTGTAGCTCACCCATTCTGCATAGCAGCTGCACTGGGGTCATATGTGAGTGTCATTCCAGCCTGGGGGAAAAGGACAGCACAGGTCTGGCCGATGCACGCAACTCAAACACAATAGCATTGTGCTACAGTCTACAGTGTAATTATTACACTCAAAACTGAAAGAGGGCGCTCTTGACTACACAAGACTTTACAATAAACAGCAGAGGGTATGACCAGAATTGCACCTCAATGTACTGTACATGTAATTTATTCCTTTAGATGAATCTTCAGTAACAGTTGCTCAAAAGTGCTTCTTTTTTGGTTGTCATATTCTCTGCTGTTTATTATTTAACACCTGAAGTTTATCCTTTATTATTTCCATATGTTCATGGACCCATCAGCCACTCAGTCCATCCTTGATGCCACTTACCAGTCTCGAATCACCATCCCTTGCCCAACCCCGACCATTCTGGGCAAATTTATTCTGATTTTGTCTCTTTTTTTGCCCTCCATCAGCAAACTTGCACAGCAAGGGTTCGGGGGGTACTAAAAAAAGAGAAATGGTGAGAGAACAAAATAAAAGTGTGTCTTAAATAGAGACCATCACAAAGACAATTGCTATCTGTCATTGCTTGCTTTAGTCCCTAAAGCCTGGGAATGCACATTTACTAGGCAGTCTGAGAACACAGACATCTAATTTGGCAGCTGTGGAGCTGTAATCCCCTCCCCTTCCTAAAGGAGGAAAGGCCAACAGAGACTATTTCAGTCTAATAATCCAATTAAAAAACTTAGCGAGGTAGTGGAGGCCACACAGAGCAGCTCTCTCTCTCTTGTTTTCTTTGTCTGTGCTCTGCCTCTTAAGGCTGAGTGTATATGAGCTCTTTACCAGCAGACTCACTGACTCCTGTTGGAAGCATGAATCAGTTGGCCGACCACTTCATTCTGTCTGTACAACTATTACCCTAACCTATTAACCTACAAAGACTGTGCACATTAGAGACAAATCCTATTATTTTCTTTTACATATTATTTTCATGGCATGGCTAGATCATTTTACATTACAATTCCCCAGTGTATGTCTGCAAATACAAGATAATTATATAGTATGTCTTACCTGGAACACCTGCAGGTGTCTTGATAAACTTGCCATTGAAGTGAGAAATGACAGCATCACATTTTTCAGTTGACTCCATTCTAAAGTTATAAAAGAGAAACAGAACATAACATAACATTTCCATAACATCAGTAATAACTGAGGTAGTGAGCAGGTGCTTTCCAAGATTGGCTTCCTTTCTGGTTCAGTAGAAAAGGTGGCTCAAAATAAAAGATTTTTATCTTCAAGTGTACAACTATATTTTCACCATTTTACTACACAGACTCATTAGTGCATGTCTACACAAACAAACATTCCTATGATGTTTTTGTTTCGTCTGTCATGACCACGACCTTGCCTGTCAGGTGTTTCTATCAAACTTCTGGTTATGCAAGCATGACTGGCAGAAGCCAGTATTACCACTATAATTAAATCAACCAGTCATTGTGAAAGTATTTTTTAAAGGAGTTTCCATTTGTCCATACATGAACTGTTCTTTCCGCCATGCTATCAACAACAAAGCAATGTTTTTTTTTTTACTTATTAATTTTAGAAATGAAACACATTCTGCATTTAATGGATGAGGAGAAAGCTCTGAGTATTTTTAATCTTTTGGAACAATTTGAAAGCTGTTATATGTAACATTATTAAATGTCACTTTATCTTTAGTAATTGGTTTAGAATAGTAGCCTTGATCTCAATCCTCTGGCATTGTTAGGAATTTTGCCACTTGTCTCATTTCCCCTGTCTCTGGCATAATTTCCATTTCACTGGTCGAATAGTGGTCTCTTCCTGTTTACTGCTGTGAAGCGGTCTATTTTAGCCATGAAGCCATCACATGAATTTCCTGCCATACCTGATCTGATGTCAAAAAAAAAAAAAGTTAGGTAGAGGCCAGAAGAGGATGTCAGTCATCTCAGTTGGAAACCATGGATTTAGTTTGGTCATAACAATATGTCATATTTGACATAGTTTAGATTTATTGATTTTAAAATGCTTCAGTATATGTAGCATCAGTAAAAACTTCTTAATGTTGTTTCAGTTGCATGAGTCCCTGACAATAAATTACACACGTAACTGACCTGGCAAAGCCCACTCCTCTGCTGGTTCCACTGGAGTCTCTCAGGATGCGTGTGGATATGACCTGGCCGTAGTGCTTTAACATATTCTCTAGCTCCTGCTCATCCATAGACAAAGGCAAGTTGGAGATATACAAGTTTGTAGGGTCTTGTTCTTGTTGCTACAAGAGAGAGAGAGATAGAGAGAGAGAGAGAGAGAGAGAGAGAGAGAGAGAAGGAGCCAGAGGTAATGTAATTACACTACTGGAAATGCTTGAAACACACTGGTTAACACACATTTCTAATTGCATCACATTCAAAGTGGCCTCAATAATGTAGCTATGTAAAGAAGGAGGAAGACAGGAGAGAAGTTCCCTTGCAATTCCATATAATTTATCCCTTGAAATACCTAAACATTCAATAGACTTTTAATACAGACCTCAGTAATGTGGCTATCATGTCTCTGCTTCTTCCTGTTTGTCTCTGTTGGGGGTTATAGGTAATAAAGGGTCACTATCTGCATGCAGCCCACATTGGCTTAAGGCTCACATCAGCTGATTTCTTGCTGTATTTTAATAGCATCAGCAGAAACAAAAGACATGGCTACAAGGGAGCAGCCTCTCACCATTACAATTCATCAACAGTGTGTTGCATTCAGAATCAGCTATAGGGCCAGACTGACTTACTAAAAGCAATACACTGACAGAAAAATAACCATTTCACAATTAGAGGACAACAAGTGGGCTACAGTCTGCAATGCAACAAAACCCAAGTAATGTTTTTCAGGTTTTTCAGGCAGACAAAGTGGTCCTGAAAAGAGATGGAAGGAGAGATGAGGGGATGAGGATGAGAGTGAGGGGTGCAGGGATGTGTTTCAGCACTTCAGCTCTGCACAGCTCTAATAACTCAAAAGGGAGCAGGAGACCAGTAATGCTCCTACCTGCTTTTCACACATGGGGGTATACACACGTGTATGCTTGTACACATGCACAAATTTTGTCCAAAAGCAGAGAAGGCTGCTTCCCTTCTTTCTTTTTTTTTTCTTTAGCTTTTAGCTGTTTGGTGGCAGAGCGGAGCATTTATCCTGCTAGGTCTAACCTAAATGACCCCCCCAGTGAGGCAACTGATAAATTGTTAATAACAGGAAGCTGATTTCTTTTCTGTTGTTATCCATCCTCACCCATCATCACTTTATGCAAGATTAATTTTGACCTAGTCTTTAATGTCACATAGTTACAATTCTAGAAGAATAGGGTTGAGGGTAAGGTAAGAATGACCACGTTTTTTTATTGATGTAGCAAATTTAACCATATCAGCTCTTCTGTTGTAGGACTGACTGTACCATCACTTGAGAGAATTCTGAAAGAAAGAAAGAAGTGAGATAAGGCATCTTTTTTGCATCAAATGGGTCACCAAGCATCAGTCAGTCACAAACTGTAAGTGACACATGGTTGTGGATGAAGAGCTGATGAAGAGAGATACCGTTGATGAAGAGGTATTACTCTTTCTCTTGCTACAGAGACAGGGAGTATGAAATGATGTAAAATTAATTTGATCTACTGCAAAGAGCATAAATACTGTTCTCTTCAGGGCACACTGCTCCACATTCACACTTGGCAGATGCCCAGTACAGCCTCAGTCGTATCTGTTGTCCACTGAGGGCCGCTCCACTGGAGAAGTAGGGACATTAAGTGTCTTCCTCAAGGGCACTAAGGTGGTGGGAATGAAGAACGGGCACGTGCTGCTCTTTCACATACCCTACCCACATTTATACTGCTGATCTAGGGATTAAACTGCTACTTTCCAGTCACAACAAACAATAAAAAACAATGCTGTTCCTCTACAAATTAAATTCACACAACCTGATAAAACCATCTTAAAGCCTATATTAACTTAGCCTTAACGAAAAACTTTATATACGAATGTGGGGTTAATCCCTTGTATGTATAGAGAGAAAGATGAAATAATATAAGGTAAAAAGAAGGGAAACTCTTATCTGGCCCCTTCCCACCACCTGCCTTTGAAATAATAATGAGAGAAAGTCTGTTGAAGGATGCCTGAGCAGATGAAAAAACAGGAAAGGGAACCTTTGTCAGAGAGTCCATTAAGCCCAAACAAGCTTCTGCAAGAGTGTGAATAAAGCTGGAGTGAAAGGCTCACACTTTATAATGGCATTTACCTTCCACAATACAAAGATTAAACTTAGGCATGCCCCTCAAAGCTGCTCTCTTTTAATTAAAAAAAGTAAAATGGGTGCACAGAGGCATGTCAAGAAGCTCCACAGATCCCCAGACAGGGAAATGAGGCTAAGGGTTCTTGCTCAGTGCTGTATGGGAACTAATTTTCCCCGAGTGGTCCCTGTTACCATAACAACACACAATTATTTACTTCCTTTTCTGATGTCAGAGACAAGTATAATGTCAAAAGTAAAATGGCCTTACTTTAAAGCCCCTCATCTCATAATCTGCTGTATTGTATTGTGAACAAAAAAAACTGTATATGTAGTGTGTTGAAACCTTGAATGACTCTGTCCACACAACACTGGGCACAATTCATTTGCCAATGTACTAAAGCTCCAACTTCTTCAGTGACAAAGAGGGATGTGTTTATCTGTATTTCCTGAAATGTTCTCCAATGTTTCAAACATATTTGCAGCATGAAGCCTCATTTGTTGAACATTAATTTTTGAGAGGTTTAAGTATTTTTCAGCAGGCGATGCTAGACATATGTATTAGAGTGCTGAGCTATTAGTCTCAGTTCCTGCACAGAATGTAGAGACACATTCACACATTATCAAGCAACACTGATCTCTACATGCTATAGTCTGACTATTGGCACCTTCACATCTGAATCCTTTCTGTCAGCCCATGTGAGATCTCTCGGCCATGTATGAACACATCAGCATATTACCAAATTCATTTTAACTTTAAGGGCCAGATTTGGTGCAACACATACAGTATGTGTGTTATATTAACCCTGCATTGACTATACTATTAATGCAGTAATGCAAATGGACTTTATTGCAAATGAAAAAGAATAAAATGAGAGAATAAAACAAATAAGGAAGAGACAGAGCACTAGCACCTCAGCGTGGAAGAGGTGGCAGGTGGAAATTGTGTTGAAATAGCAATGTCTCACCACTGCAAAAAAACAGAGGGTTGAGCAACGATAAATGACATCACTATAAAAATATGAGAAACAGGAAGTGGTTTCCATGTGGGGCTGAAAGTCCCCACTGTGTGAGTGGTAAGCTAAACAGTCCCTTTTTTCAAAACCACTGTATCAAACATTAAAAGAGCCACATCTGGAATCCACCAGACAACTGGCTGGGTACTGGTTGCATGCAAAGTTGTTCATAAAGTAATATAATTATTTTGTTTCAAACCAACCTTATTTATCCATCTATCCATCTATCCATCTATCTATCTATCTATCTATCTATCTATCTATCTATCTATCTATCTATGCTGTAAGTGCCTTCATCCCTAGATGAAGTTTTCTATTTGTACAGTAGTTTCTATTGTGAAGTTTATGTACTCAATAATGTGGAAAGGCATTCTTGTTAAAAATCACCTATATAATCTACAATGACAGTAATATAAGCCTTGATGTATCCTGCAGACAACCAAGAGGATATTTTAGCCAGGGATTACACTAAATGCTAAACTGGGTGAAAGAGCATGAACTTATGACCTTTCCCTTCATTTGAACTCTAATCTCAAATGGTGTTGATACAGTAATGTGTCACCAAAGTTCAAATTCAAGTCTAATGAACACAAACCACAGCAGTCCATCTACTGTTGTTTGGTTGCTGTTCCACAATTATCTGATATTGTGTTCATTAATAATTATTGCAATTTCCATGACTGTACTCAGCCTGTATTAACATCTCTCTCTCCCTATTATTTGTGCAGTCCTTGGTTAAATGCGTGTGCAGAAAGGACAGAGCCTCATTTGCAGGCACTCACACTATTCACATGCAAACTGATACTTTGTTTGCAAACTGCAACAACCTGGTTCACATGTGTCACAGTTTCTCCTGAAAATGTACAAGCGTGCCTTAGGAAATCTGGTGTTGAGTTCCATAAACACACACGCACAAATACACACTGTTTTCAGCACTGACTTCCTTCACAATTCAAGTCAGTGATCCCAGAGTCACCGAGCGGTCTACAGACCAAGTGTTGGGGAGCATTCACCTAGCAGTCATGGATTCCAGTACTGCTATGTAATACCACAAGGATTAGGTTTAAACCGGCTGACCAACCAGATGGAGGAGAAACAGTGTTAATGGGTGACTGGTATGGATGTGATATCAGGATTAGACTGTAATGAATCCTCACCTTTGCCATCTGAGCTTGGACACCAGTAGTCTTCAGGGCAGCGACAGCTTTCTGAGCTGCAGCAGGGCTGTCAAAGTCCACAAAGCCATATCCTGAGGAGACAAGCAGCACATTTAGAACACTACTCTATGGCTGGTACAGATAATGGCAGAGCCACTGTGTTGTGTGGGCTAACCAATGCCTCTCTGTCATGGATGGTGATGGGCTCTGTGTTCATTTGTGCATATAATGTGCTACTATAATGAAGCTATACATATATTGTGTTACTGTACAGGAAGTATGTACTGTATATACTTTTTGCATTCTGTAGGTCTATCTAATTTGTATGTATGTATGCTTGTGTGTGTGTGTGTGTGTAAGTACAGGTAGAAAAGTGCTGAGGATGCAGATACCAGTGTGACATTCATGGCTCAGGTCAGCTCTTTGTCCAGGGAGGTCCAAACAGGGTGAAACTACAGTCTCTGGCCTGTACCACACCTGCAATATTTAACCTATTCAAGCTAAATTATGGTGAATACTGTATGTCAGGGCTCTTTCAGCTGAGAAATGGGTCACACTGGTACTAAAAGTTTAATATGAATGCCTCTCTTAGTGGCAAAGGGATCATGATAAAGTGTGAAATTAGAAAAAAACAGTTGATTATTAGTCGAATAAAGAATTTCGTGAGACTTAAGGTCACAAAAGGCGATTGTCAAAGCCATCTCTGGGTTCTATTTAAAATTCAGTCAGAGCCTTACAAGGTATTTAACGGTGTCCCATTTCACAGAAAGCCTTCGATTAACTGGCATCTGTATAATCCAGAGGAGAGTGACAAAGCATTCTCTTAATCCCATCAGCACTGGAGAGAATCAGTAAGTCTCTCTTTAGCCAGGTGGGCAGTCTATTAGAACTGGAACAAAACCAGCACTGTCATTCAGTAAAAGGAGGAGGAGTCGGTCTTCTTTGGAAGAACCACCCACAGCAGTGACACACCAACAGACAAGGGCTGAGGCTTAAAATAACATGAGCTGGGAGGCAGCTTTAAGCAGCCTGGCTGTCTTGTTTCCTGACGTGAGCAGATCGTCTGAGACAACTCCATAGCTGTTAAATGACTTGAGGTTTAGGCAGAATTCACACATTGGGGTCTAGTGATATTCTCTCTCACAGCAAGGTGTTGAATATCCAGCCGGGCAGTTCATAAGATTTCCTTACTCATACTTAATTAAAAAAGAAAGAATAGAGGGTGCTGCTGGAAAGAATAAAAGTCACACACCTTTACATTTGTTTGTAGTCTTGTCCAGGATCGCCTTTGTTGACACAATTTTGCCATACCTATGGGAGGAGCAGAAAGGCGAGACATTGTTAGCAGGATTATATACCAGACAGAGCCAGTTATAAAACACAAAGAGAGGGAGGGTTGAGCAACAATCTATGACATCACCGTAAAAACATGAGAAACAGGAAGTGGTTTCCATGTGGTGCTGAAAATCCCCACCATGTGAGTGCTAAGCTAAACAGTCCCTTTTTTTAGCCAAACTAAACCACTGTATCAAACTTTATACAGAGTCACCAAAGTCTCCCTTGGGAGAAGGCAGGTCACTTCGGTACCATCTTGTTAAGGCCTCTGGGCAGTTGGGATTATCACTCTCCTATCTTTTTATATTAAAAATCACATTATTTAAAGTTCTGACATGATTTCCATTATATATTTAGGTTTTCACTGTATACAACACTACAGATACCTGTACGTGTGTGCAAAGGATTGTGTGGTCTGGCTCACACCATTTCCATAGTTTCAACAGAGCAGTATTGATATGCACGCAGACCACAGGAAAGTACTAATGATAACATCTGAGAATATCATGTTACTACACAGTCTTTTCGTACAAGAAGCTTTGATGCAGGAACTGTATCTGTACAGAATCGAGGTGAATGGGTTTAAACCCCAACAGCTCTCTCTCTCTCTTTTCTTTTCACATGTAGCATATTTCACTTCTTTAATTTTGCATTCCACTGCCAATTTAAAAATTGTTGTTTTATAAAAAATAACTTTTTATTTTCTTTTACAGTCCAGGCCATAAGTATATGGACAGTTAATCAAAATAATCAGTGAAACTAGCAGAGGTCTAGAAAAGAATCAATGACTTTTAACCATTAAACTAATGCAATACAAGGTCCTACACAAAACCATTTGAGTCAACTAGAAAGACAGAACAAAATTATCAGTAAATCACTGGCTCAGTCTCTCAACACATAAATCTAGAACAGTTCACAAATCTGATGCCATTCCACAACACCTGGTGTCCTTTCCTGCTGTTCATCCAGAGCTGATTCCTTTCTACACCACTTCACTCACTCAGATTTTCCCAACCCCAATATGACAACTCAAAAAATGAAAATCACCCACAATATTGTTAGCCCGCACAACTGGTTGGCTTTTGGTTGGGTGCAAAGTTCTTCATAAACAAATTATTTCTTGGTTATATAATTATTTAGTTTCAAATCAACCTATGTGTGTGCTGTAAGTGCCTTTTGACCCCTGGATCCTGAAGTTTCTGTTCACAACAATGCAGAGAGACATTCTGTCTATACATATCATGTTAAAAATTACTTATATAATCTACCCTGACAGTGATATAAACCACCCTGCAGTCAACCAGGAGGATATTTCAGCCTGGGATTAAATGCTAAACTGAGTGAAAGAGCACAAACCTGTGACCTTTCCTCCATCTGAACTTTAATCTCAAATCATGTGTGGCTACAGCACGCTCACTCTTACAGTGCCATTAAAATGTTGCACATTTACTTGTACATGTACACATAGTTACTAACGCGCCTGTGACAGTTTGAATGCCCAAGAAAAAAGAAAGTCCTGTTTGCCCTCAGATTTACATAAGAAGTGATAAAATAGAACATTCAAAATTTTGTGTTCTCAGTCAGTATTACATTGTGAAGATGGGGCCTCAGAAAATAAAAGTCCACCAGGGTGGTCTCTGTGCTTGGCAATTATAAAGCATTCAGCGCACAAAGAGAGCCATGGACAAGCCTGCTGCTGACAGTATCTCCCCTTTATCCACACACATGATATATGAAATCTCTACTGCTGTGCCCCACATGCTGTCAAGTAGCACATCATCTACACTCTGTCCTTGTGTGGTCTTTAAGATCATTTTTCATATCATATCCAAATGAAGCCGGCAATACTGTTTCATTTCTTGTCATCTCAAATATAAACAACTCTATTCGTTATAAAAATGATTAAATCTTTCAATTCTTTCTTGGAATATGTTTAAACCAACCTATAGGGCTCAATTAATTATTCAGTCAGATTATTAGAAAGGAAGAAAATATACTTTAACTATAAATTACAACAAAGACAACACCTGATAAATTTTCTGATCTTTAATAAGCATGTAATTGAACTAGTAAAATGGCATTACATCTTACCTTTTATCTTTTCACACCTTATTTGTATTTTACCAAATGTAAATCAATAAGTGACTGCCACTGCAATTTAAAACTAGACTCTGAAACTAAGTAGGCCAAAAAATCAATGGCCGATCAATACCAGATAATGATGAGAGGAAGTGCGATACTCACGGCTGACAGAGCTTGACCAGGTCATGGTCTGTGGTTGAAGGGGACAGGCCTCGGATATAGAGGTTTGTTTTGCTGAGCTGGTCCCAGCCTGCAGTGCTACTGCTGCTGCTGTTGTTGGTGCTGCTGTTGGTGCTCGGGCTCGGTGGAGCCATGGGGTGTGATGATGGGGCAACAGGTGGCTGGAATAGGCAGGGAGACAGAGAAAAACTAGGTTGAATTCAAGTTCAGGCTGGTTTATGATTAAATAATATTGTTTAAAATCTTTCCATACAATCATTTTGTGCCAAATATATAGCAAGTGCTATAGCAAGATATCAACATGGCTCAAGTTCCCCAATCTAAATGAATGTGCTCAAAAACTTCAGAACATTTTTTTTTTAATATTACATAAGATTTAATTCCACAAAATGAACATGAGTTTAACTTTTCCAATGCGATTCTCAAAACATTAAGAAAAACTTAACACCAGAGAATGAAACACTACTGTTTCAAGTTTGTTTCACCTTTGACCACACCCGACATCATTGATGGGTGTGGTCAGATGTGTTTCTGATGTCACAGTGTACTGGAGTACACTTATATATCACTGCATCACTGCAGCAAGTTAAACCTCTGGAAGTCAGCAGAAACAAGATTTTCAGGGATTTTTAAACCTGCAATAAGTGTTTTTGTGGCCACTCTGGGACAGCAGAAACAAGTTGTAAACACAATATTGACATCTTATGTCCTTAGAAAATTGATATGGCAAAGCTGTCAGTTAAAAGTTGCCTATTTACACATGCAGCAGACACAGAGCTGCAAAATAATCCGCTGTATTCACCAGCTAGCAACTAACTGTGTCCATCTGCTGTTCGGTGAGTGAGAGAATGATTTTTTCCACAATACGGATTTCACATATCCATATATGTATGGTGTGGATTCAGTATTGTTTTGATTTGCTGACAAAATATTATTCTTATTAATATTTAAGTGAACTGTATCAAAATATGATGCTCTCCTTTCTGCATGACATCTCTGGATGAAAGTTTAGTCCAAGAAAGGCCCACTGTGTGCCCTCTCCAAGTCACTTATATATAATAATTATAATAATAATAATAATAATAAAATAAACTTTATTTATATACCATCTTTCAAAACCAAGTTACAAAGTGCTTAGTCACATATAGTCACATGTAAGGGGAAAAAAAAGATTAAACTCCCTGGACCCTCCATCATTACTATCAATAATGATGGCGCGGCCATCATTGCGGGTTTCTTTCCAGTGTAAGGACTGCTGTTTTACAGAGCAGTGATCCATATCTGTAGGGCAATCTTCACACACCTTCACAGTCAGCACAATTAGGGGTCCACAGGGGCTTGTAGTGCTGACATCAGTGTCACACTGATGTCACACTGCTGTGGGTGTCGAATAAGCTATTTGCAGGCCAACATAAACAATCATCTCTGTAGTAGGTCCAGACTTCTTAACCTTAACGCTCCTTTTAATGAATAGCTTTGAAAATTACTTCAAGTATGATTGTATCTTTCCCCTATTAGCCGAGAAAAAAACAACGGTTAAGAAATTACCATTTTTCATGAGATTAGAAAACAGTCAAATAACTAGAACTGTAATTTTCATATACTATTCAGTTTTGGTTCATTTTCTAAGTATTGCTCATAATAGCAGCAAATGGCAAAGGAATTTGTCTTCTTTACTATATGATACTGACCCCCCCCTTTCTTTCTCTGAGGAATCACAAGCTGGGAGGAAGATGATGGAATGCCAAGCATGAAGCGGTGACAGGCATGACCAACCCAAGTCTAGACTTTTGCCTATAGGATCCTCTCTTCTGACCGGCTGTTTGACTGACTGAAGAAAGTGTGAAACAGAATTCCAGGCCTGTATCAGGAAAGTAATAGCTAGTTAAAGGCTAAAGTGAAGAGATTTTAGCTTTTTTTTTTTTTTTTAAATGTTTGGTGAGCTGTCCATGCGTCCCTGATATCTACAGTATAGGTAATGTGTTCTACAGCCTTCAACTTTGGGGCATAATTAACAAAGGTTGCATCCCTGTTTTTGTTTTGGCTGCTGTTGGGAACGTCAAATAAACCAACAGCAGATGATTGCTGCTATTGTGTTCTTGAAGGCAAATAGTTTACAAAGGAGTTAGCAATGTATCTCGGTCCATGTATTCCTTTTTTACAGGTAGTTACAGCTTCTTTGTATATATTACAGTGGACTGTGAGCCGAGTTTTCCTCCATTTTCTTTCAGCTGCCCGTTTAACCGTGGGGAGATTCTGTCAGTCAGCCTTGCTTTAACCTTTAGTGGAGCAGCAGTATTTAAAGCAGATGATGATGTATTGCTGAAATTTTAAACCCATGTCATTTTAAGAGCAGTTACAGCTGAATGGCTCAATTGATGTATAGAAAACCTTGTTTCAGCCTCGGCATCTAGGAATCACTTTGGACCTAAAAATTCTAGTATTTGTTAAGGTTGGCATCAAAAAACACACAGAGATGGTCATAAATAGGTAATTCGAACAATCAAACATTATCAATATTTAACCCTGTGGTCATTCCTGAGTCTAGATTGTCACCATGCTGATGAGTGGCTTCATTTACATGTTGGGTGAGTTCCAAGCTGTCAGTGAATTCACAAGCACCTTGGCTTTGGAGTCATTCCTTTTATTAATACAAATATTCCATTCAAAAAATGTAATCTATCACATTTAGTGATACCAAGTGAGATCAGCTCTGAGAATTCCTGGAGAAATAGATGAATCATAATAATGTAATATGAGCACTGGTAATGCTATTTTGAGCAAAAGAGTAAGATATTCAAATTATGTAAATTCACCTGGGTCAATGTCATTACATACAAACGGTGTACTGTATGAGTAAGAGATGAGCTCGGCTTTTCCTGTGTCATCTGACTGATAAAAATTATAGTTTGCAGGACAAGCCTGTATCACAGTGGCTTCACCAGTAGTGTTGTTTTGCCAACTAAAAACATACAATGTAAATTCCTTTCATGTCAAGTCCCTTTTTTTATATATAGCGCCAAATCACAACAGCCACTTTTCAAATAGAGCAGGGTTAGACCTACTCTTACTCGTACTCTGTATGATACTGATTACAGAGACTAAAAATTTCCCACCATGAGCAATCACTTGGCGACAGTGGCAAAGAAAAATCCTTTTAAGGGGCAGAAACCCAGAGCAATTATCAGATCATGAACCAAAAAGGATTTGTTAGTCAATGATCTCAAATTAAAAAGAGCTCATTTCAGCTGTAGGGATTCTGTGACAGGAAAGGAAACTAGTGAACATTGACAAATTTCAGAGTACTAAGACAGTAACCAGATGGTCTGTGATTGCTACGATGTGTTTGACCATGCCACTGGCTGTTTGAAATCACCAGTATATTTTAGGAAGCAGCATGGGGTCTGTCTCATCTCTGGTAGACACCTGAGTGATTATGTCTGTGGTTATTACTTTTTAATAGCTCATCAATTTGACTTGAGCGTCAGCATGGCAGCTTTAACCAGCTCCTTGATTGGTGAGTGTGGTGGAGGGGGGCTCTGAGGGCTGCTGGGTTCCTGATTGGGACAGAGACATCCTCTGATGTGGAACCTTAACCACACATTCTTGTTCAGGTATGGCATGCCTAGAGCATGACGTAGGTTGGTAGTCTGGATTCACTTCCATTTCATTTCCATGAAACCCATCAGGTTTAAAGCGGTCTTTATAGTTCCAAAAGATATTGAAATTGTCAATAAATGTCAGCCATGCATTCAGACCAAAGAATCAGCTAAAATATTTGATTCCTTTCCCCAAAGTTGGAATCGGGCCTGAAGTGAATACATGCTGCCATTGACAGTCACTGAGTTTTTCTAGGAGCTTCTTTTTTCAGGATCTCAGAGCTAATTTTTCTTTGCAGATTGTCGAAAGACATAATGTGGATAATAATCCTCACATTACTTGTATGTGTTAAGAGAATAATTGACAGCTCCCTGGCAGATTTGTGTGCCATAGTCAAATTTTCAATCTTTGCCATTCTTGCATGCTTGGTAGTACATCAGAAGTGTCTGATTTATTAGAGTTAGCAATGTTTCTTCTGGCCCTTAGCCTAGAAGTGGTTTTGGGGCTAATTCATGGGTTTTGGTTAGCCTTGATGCTAGTGGAGTGATTTCCTTCCCTGAGTACAACTTAGTAGTATAACTCATTTCTTTCAGTCAGTCACCTCTGGAGCACACAACATCAAACCAAGTCCTGGCTTGAGCTGATGCTTTCAGTCTGGTGCAGGTGCTGTGCCAGTAAGAAGCATCATTAGGGAAGGCTGGTCTGGGAGCCTTGGCAGCTAATTTTGTGGCGTTAAGACACATCCAGAGGAGCGTGTCAGCCAATTCCGTGACACGATGCTCTACATTTGATGTAATCCCAGGTATAAAAATCAGTGTCTGTCTGTTAGCATTTGGTGGCTCAGCACCTTGTGCAGTAGCTGCTAACAGAGTCGTCAAATTGCTCTCTTTTGCAAATTAGTGTTTCAATCTTTTTTTGAAGCTGTGTTATCCTCTCAATCAGTTGCTAAAATTTTGTGCAGTTTATGGATTTTGCTGGGTTTGGAGACATAGGTTTTATGTTGTCTTTTGCCGGACTGAGAAGCTTTGTACACTAGACTAAGCTAGGCTAGGAGCTACATCTGTGACTGGGCTCTGAAACTTTTGTGTGTCCTGAAAGAAAACTTTAGTTTCTTTCTGCAGTTCTACTATAGATGTGTTTGTTAGTGCCAATGTAACTGGTAATAGCTCTCTTTGCAAGGATATGAAGGAAATTAGAAAATGGAAGACAAAAACACACAGCATATAGCAATCAGAGAGCTGTATTTGTTGGCAAAAGTCCTTAATTCCCCCAGCCTAACCACCAGTTAATTGCACTCAATAGCATGAACTGGTCCCAAAGTTAAAATTATTCCCTGGAGAGATCTCATGAAATTGAAGTATACGGTCCCGCTCTTTAGCAACAACCAAAAACAACAGCGACAATGTTACTACTGTTGCTACTTGAAAAGGTGATAGAAGAGTACTCATGAAATCTTTTTCTATTCTGGGAAACCATCATCAACAGACAGAATAAATTTTAAATATGTCACAGTTGCTCTCATGACTAACACTCATTTACAAACAAGCGTGGCTTACTTTTCTTGATTTTTTGAAGTTATTAACAACATGGATCACAGGTTTGACTGCAGTCAGGCCAAAAACTTACCGAACATCATTTAATACTCTTTATGATAAAAAAATTCACGTTTGCACCAAATGTGAAACATTCTTATTTCAACATGATCTCTATGGTGTGCCTGGGTAATGGTAGCAGTCATGGTTCTAGTTCAGAGGTGCTGCACCTTCTTTAACATGGAAACTGTGTCTCTTAATCTTTGTTTTTCATCCAATCACAAGAAATAACACAAGTCTTATTTCTCAGCATCTCAAAAGAGCAATGCTTATTGAAGTTATCTTGGGTGTTTGAGTTTCAGACATTAATTTCAGGTAGATGCTACTTTCTTTATGTTTGTGACTACAACAATAACAGTATTAAGTTGAACTGTGGGGTGTATTGTTGAGAAAAACAAACACAAATCAAACCTGGAAAATCAATGGGGATGAAAATAAATGCTTTAAAATATTAAAAAGCTCTAGGTTTCAATTGTATTTAACGTTAAAACCGTTGTCATCATAGTCTTAAATGTATTTGTGGACTGTAAATACATTAAATAACATGCCAAATCTTACAAAAAAAACTCAAAAAAGTCAAACATTATGTACATTCCAGTCATAGTTAATAATACATGTACCAACATACAAGACAAGCCAGTCTCTAAAGAAAATGCCTGCAAGAGGGACCAGAGCTCTATTTTCATTGTCTGGGATTCAGGTAACTGCAACTTCTGCTTTCTGTGGGACTGAAAGTAAATTTTGTTTTCATTCATCTGCCCGACTACTTAGATGCAGGACTGTGACTGACTGTGATGGGGAGAGGACGGCATCTTATCAGTCACTTCCAGACCAGCAGAGCCTGTCATATCCGAGCTGGAAATACACAGGGCTTCCAGTAACAGGCCTCGCCCATGGAGCTCTAGCCACAGGATAACAGCATGGGCACGACAGAGTAAATATGCTTATTCAAATCTTTTGGCTAAAGGGAGTTTAAAAAATCCATATGTAACTGGGACAAAGTTAATGCATCAGTGGGCGATTAGTCACCCATATTGTATAATTCTGTACAATAAAGAGAAACCTTCCACTGCAGGCAAATATGGTGTATAAATAACATTTTGTGTAATGTATACTTCAAATATTTAAGGTAACCTATTGTCCATTAGACTTAAGCTGAGTTTCATAAAATAGAAGCCAACAAAAATGTTCTTTGGTTCAAACTAAGCAAGAATATACAGTATTCTAATGAAATTGCGTCTGTTTGGTTGAGTTTCTGTGAAGTGGTGTTAAGGGCCAGCTCATTTGTGCTTTATACCTTTTAAAATCCTTAATATTAAATTAGGGTTGTTTTTCAAACGGGTTAGCTCATTGTTTTACTGTACAGACATAACATTAGCAAAGCATCAACTCAAGACATCGGCCTGTATCTCTCCAGCACTATCAGACCTGGACCATAGCCCGAGCAGCAGGTATTCTCATTATGAATAATGGCCTATCTGGATCTTACATCAGACACAGGAACACAACACTGCCATCTCAAATGACATAAGTAACACAAAGTAAGTTTTCTTTCTGTTAGAGCGTCGGTTGTGCATTAAGTTTTTTTATAGGCAGTGAGCCGCTGTCAAACACACCTATTTTGCGACTTCAATAGAGTCAGTTTTGTCGACATTATGTCTTAAGGCTGGTCTTTGGTAAATATTACCTGTTTGCGATACGGAGTCCTTAGTGGGTTTCCAGTATTAGCAAAAATCATCCTCAGTTCGAAAAGGGAGGGTATTTTTTTAGTTAAGCTACAAATTTCTAGCGAAATAAGTAGAAAAATTAGTTGACATATATAGCCTCCTTACTCCGCTTAAGGACACAAAAATAGGTTTCTGTACATATTAGCTGTATACATATCCTTATTGTCGTCGAGTATCCAGCAACAGAAACCTCCGTAAATTGTCCCAACTTCGACTGCCCAGCCCCGTTGCCTTGACTGGCTTCATTGATTTGCAGTCGGCGCTGCGCAGGACAGACGCTGCTACGGTGGGAGAAACCATTTGGTCTTTTGGAGTGGGGGAGCCTTTTAACAACGTTCCCAAAAATACATAACAGTTCGTTTATCTATGGCTGAGTGGACATTTAAAAGAAGATATTCATAATAGCTGAAAACATTCCCTGGTATTTGCAAGTATCTACATTGCTCTTGTTATATGAAGACCAATATTTAAGATGCCGTTTTCACCTCTGTTGTTGTTTATGTATTAAAGGATGCATACCAAACATTCCACCGTGCGGCTGCTGGTCCTGGTTGTGATATTCTGACAAGTTTATTTTTGTGTGTAACTGCCACAGTGTACTGAGAATATAATCAGACGAAGGGCAAATAACAAGAAGGTCTGTGTTTAAGAGTATTAGTAATTATTAATGGTGGTGAAGGATTCCATTTAGTACGGAGGCAGCAATCTACTGATGATCAATATGATTTACAATGCAGATGGTCGTGATAAATGGTGTGGTGTCAAAGACGCCTGAATAAAAAAGATGATAGCTCAGTGTTAACACATTTTAAGACATGCTGTAATGTAATGTGTAAACACATCAATTTCTCGCTGGTTTAGAATGAGATTTGTAATAAAATGAACAGTTTGCGTACTTAACCAGACACACCCACATACCAGCGTATTTGCATCAACTTTCTAAAACCGACTACAGACTACGGCTTAGGTCACACAACACAGCCATAAAACACCGTGATAATAGGCCAATTCTTGATACGAACTGTTTCATATCATTTTTACATTATATCAAGAATGGGTGAAATGGGACAAATGTTTGGTTCGCAATTAGAGTAAAGGATCAGTCCATCCAAATTACAAAACAACACATTTTCCTAATATGTAGCTACACGCTCAGTAAATTCTGCCAACACCCTAATTCAGTGGGGATAAATCTGATTTCACTAGTGGCGCACTGAAAAAAAGACATTACAAAAACTCAACAGCAGGATGTTCTGTTGTCCCAGACACAGTAGCCCAGGGAAATAAGTTTTAATGAATAACAACAATTATAATAACCTACTTCCCCCCAGATAAAAAAACCTACACCTGCAAAACCTATACCTCCAAAATAAAAAGAAATAAAAACTTATAAAAAAGCTTTCTGTGAGGCTAGAAGCCTTGTAAGGATTGGGTTTCACAGTGGAGTGCAATTTTGTTGAGAAAGGTGGCTTCTATTATGGATTGTGAGAAGGAACCTCTTACTGTGAGTGATGGGTGCTTGATGCGGTGGAGTTTGTGTTTGTTTGTGTGTGGGGTCTTTATTAGAGCAGGTGAGAGGGACAGGCTGAGCTATAAATCAAAGGTAATCTACCCACCACTGTCACTTGCTGATTGGAAAAGCAACAGTGGGGGCAGAAAATGTGAATTAATGGTGACCTTCAGCAAGGTACAAGCGCCATGCCAGGCTATAACCACTGTCTTGTTCTGCCTTTATGGCCTGCCTAAACAGTTGAACCTTCTGAGTTTGGTTTGGGCAGCAGCTGTTTTGTGTCACATCTGAACAACTCAGATAGAAATGATCTAAATTAAATTTTTTCTCCATGGTTTTATTTTCTCTAATGCATCAAACTGCACATGTGCAACAACTAGAGAGAACACAGCTGAGAGATACTCTGCTTTCGCTTTCGCTGTGTAATTAAAAAAGAAGGTCTCTAAACCTCAGTAATCTGTGAAAACATCCCTGTGAGCCCGCTATGACATCAGTGCCCTTTTACTGAGGCCGTCGGGACAGCGTGTATATATTGGTGTGATATGTGATATATCAACCTAAAAGAAACCAAAGGTCACCAGGAGAGCATGTAGAGAAGTTCACCAGGCCAACAGGAGTCAATGGGTCGGCATTAGAGGAAAGGAAGAGAGGTCTGATTCAGCACTCTGCTCAGGGTACTAAAGGGGGAGGGGGAGGGGGGGGGGGCAGGGCAGAACCACCACCTTTTATGAAACAGTGAAAGGAAAGGTTATCTCTCGTCCCTGTGTTTGTGTAGCACTATAATAACACCTAAATAAACCTAAACATGTATATATTATAAATGACTGTTATTATCACAGGTAGAATCATTTTTAGTTTTTATCCACACTGTAATTAGAGAGTTTCCGCTGCTTTCCATTACACAAACCAGACCTGGAACAAATTACTCATTAATTGTTAAGCCTACAGTGTATACAATATACCATTAAATCACTTCAGGCAGGTTGCTTTGCCATGAAAGGGCAGCCTTTGCTAATACAGGAACAAATGTTTATCCAGAAAACATGCTGTTCCTGAAGATCTCCTTTCATTATACAGACACAGGTTTAGATTGCGCATGCGTAATCACTCAAACAGGCACATACATGCAGATGCAAAGATTACAAGACACAAACCCAAAGACACACAGATACACAGGCTCGCACTCATGCACACACTGGGTATTTCCAAGGGAAATAAGAGAGTGGGGTTATTTTAGGACATTGTGCTACTTGTTCTCACTCTTCCCTGAACCAATGAAAACAGCAAATAATTCTGAGGTATATGAGGAAAGTGTTGCTCTCTGTTTGGTCCTCACAGATTATAACAGCAATTACAGTCTCACAGCTCAATCTGTGAAAGGCAGAGAGAGGAATTCTTCTCCTCACTTCCTCCCTGTGTTAGATTCCTGAGAAGTGGCACTGCCACAATCAGTGTTGCAGAGAGTTTTAGCAGCTCCAGGAAGCTTTTTACTAACAGCCCATTGCCTTCCTGCCTGGATGGAAGGGTTGGGGCATGTGTAACCCTTCTTTGGCAGCAGCAGATTCATTTCGCCTGACTCTTGACTGTAAATTAGCCACAAAAGAGAGTTGTGAATGCCTATGTGTGTGTGTCACACAGAAAAAAAAGGCCACATTCACAACTCTGGTCTTTAATTGAGGTGCTGGTGTGGGAGTGGTGTTCATGAAAAGCCCAGCTCACTTATCCAAAAATGAATGAGTCACTTTACTTCTTCTATGTGATGATCAACAATTTAGAATGAATCTTTTTGAACGCCCAAGAAACATATTATACATTATGGATAGGTGTTTGAAATGACTCATGGGCTTTCATAGGTACATAATCTGTTTTATTTTACCTTGACAGAGAACTCTATGGCTGTATTTATCATTTTGTTTAGGCGAGTGATCCTTACAGTTAAAAAGGATTATACAGCATTAGACTTAGAACCTATCTATTTATATATAAAAAAGACAGATTAAGCACACTATTATGCATCATTTGTAGTAGCTGTAACATACTTGTATATTTTGAAGCAACTTTCATCATCTTAATGTACAAAACAAGTGGCAAGGCAGTTTATGAATCCAGAAGCAGCAAATTGAAAATCCAGCAACCATCTGATGTGAAATAGCCTACTAATTTTTACATCTCATACATAAGTTATTGCCCTATTAAAATACACGCTAAAGCTTTGTTATTAAATCAAAATTCTTTCATTGATCCCCAACATCACCTTTTCTTACAGCCACTTTATGAAACGACATAAAAACATCAAAACTACAGGGTTGCAAATAGAAATGTTTTTGACACAACATGGGCCTAGTTAATATCACACATTTTCTTTTTCAGTGCTAGCTCTTAAAATTGTCCTCACATACAGTGGTTTGTGTGATAAGGTGACTTTTATTCACATTTCTCTCTTTTACACACATTCAAAGCGTCTTTGAGTACTTTCTGATGTATTAGAGGAAATACTTGACAGCAGCAGGAAAGGTTTTATTGTGGCGCTTGCCCCTCGTTTTGCTCATGTCAAATGAATGAGAATGAGAGTCATATGTGTACAAAGGCAGTTCTTTCAGGCCTGAACACGGACATAAAGAGCAGCGCCACTGAGCTGTTTCATTGTGTACATTCTGCTGCCGGGCAACTCTCCAAACTTTATTGTAAACATTGTATGGTGCTGTTGAGCCTCAGCATAATGCCATTGTCCGCATCCTCACCACAACATTAAATGCTTTTGCCTTGATACTGATTTAAAACTTACTTTGGTGGAAGCAGCTGGCTACCGACTATCACCAAAATGTTACCAAATGATCACTACTTCATTAAGAGCTGTTACCTCTGAACAGCCTATATCAACAGCATGCTTGACTTCAAAATATATTTTTCTTTACAGAGAACAGAATAAAATCAGCTGATCCTCCAGAAGCATTATTTACAATTGTTAGGCCTAAAATTGTGTAGTCAAATTAATTACTAAGACAAATACGTGTTTATTTTTGATGAGTCAAACCAAGAAAGCCCACTGTGGAATAACATCTATGGGATCACAGTAGGAGAATTGGACACAGTGTCTTTGAAACCACTACAACACCAGTAATCCCACCAAAAAACAAATCAATTTTATAGCCAGCATTGTCACTTTTTATACAATAATACCTTGTTTGGTCATTAAGTAAACAGTTGAATAATCTGAGATAAATCCCAACACCCCTTCTAATAGTAAGAGCTGCTGTGAATGAATGGCCTCATTCTAAAAAGTCCATTCACTGATAACCATTCAGGAAGTGTGTTTGAGGATGCACTAATGCACCAATAAATATGATTTCCACTATCGCATGTTAACTGATTACGTAAATTCGTGTTCTGTGTTTTTTGTTGCTGGTAGAAATAGTCAATCTCCAGCCTTGAGTCTCCTGCTGATAAAATTTTCATGAGCTCGAGTAATGGAGAGCGCTAGAGGGCTCTTTATGAGAGGTTAGCTAGGGACTTTCCTTTTAGCCTCATGTACCCTTTCACTTTTGTTCAATCTACACAAGCCTTTTGTGCTATTTTACACTACAAAGCCAAATATCCAACCTGTGCTCTGCCCTACAGGAGTGCTACCTTATAGCTGGTTGCTTTGATATTCTCAGTTCCAAAAAAATATTCAAAATGGTCATGTTCTGGAGACCAAATACACTATCTATTGAGTATCACAACTGC